TCCCCAGTGCTTTGCATAGCGAAACTAGTTGTTCTGTCTTTTACTGCCCCAAGTTAGATTATTTTTCATTTGTAGCTGTGCTTAATGATTGTCAATACTTTTTGTTACCTGCAAAACTGTCCAGATACTGCAGTTAAGACTACAGGCATTTATAAGGTAGGACAGTGACTAAACCTGAAAGACAAAACTCAGGGGAGAGATAGTATGAAAAAACACAATTATTTTGAGGACAGGAAAAGCTATGGCAATAAATGGTTGCTGGAAAATAAAAATGTTGCTCATACACTTTTATTTCCAGCTTTTATTTTCTCTCATCTGAGTTACTGCGTCTGGACAGTAATGAGACTTGTGATACCAGCATGATCCAGACTGTAGAGTACTTCCTTTACATATACCTAAACTTACCTCATTTATGCTGTACTTAGTAAACAAAGCTTTGAGGGCATCTAGTGGACAGGGGGGTAATGAGGAGGTCTCTCAAGACCAGGATTCAAAGAGGTGGTCCACCAAAAAATGAAAATTCACTCATTATGTACTCACCACTATGCAGATGGAGTGGTGAGTGAAGTGTTTCACTTTTGGAGTTTCAGGGGTAAATAGCAATGCAGCCAAATCCAATACAGTTGATGTATCTTGGGACCACTTCTTAAATATAAAAAAAACAACAAAGAAAAAATGTACATTGGCACTGGAGGAGGTTAACGCTGTTTTGATTTGAATTTGAATGTTAGGGCTTAGGGACACTTGGATGACACCACAAGAGATGTATGGAGGCATTTGATCTGTTGTCTTTTTATGCTTAAAGAAGTGGTCACCATTTACTTCAATTGTATTGGATGCAATGCTGTTTACCCTTGAAATTCCAAAAGTGTTCACTCAAACACTCGTGGACCCTAAAGCTTCACCCACGCCTTCATCAGCATAGTGGTGAGTAGATAATAAGTGAATTTTCATTTTTTGGTGAACTATCCCTTTAAGGAAACAGAATGTTTGTAAGGCTGGAAGGGGAAAGGGAGACAGCAAGGTACGTGTCTATGTGACACAGACAACTTTTAAAATGTGAATACATGCTAAAGAATGTTTGCATAAAAAACTGAGGTTCCTGTGTGGGGGTGTGTTTGCCTGACAGAAGAAAGCCCTGAGGGAGCATTGGCTGATGGACGGCCTGAGTCAGCAGTCAGAGCAGGAACAGGAGGCCACGAGGCTTCAGATTCAGGACGAACAGCAGCAGAGTGATCAGCTGCAGAGCAACATCCTCAGGTAACCTGCACTCTGAAACTCCCACAGCACAACCCACACTGGACCCAGCAGACAGACACGCTGACTGAAAAACTGATAGTGAGACACTTTTGAGTCACTCAGGTCAAACTCTGAAATGCAAAATGAAGTGAACCAGCAGGGAGATCACACAAACTGGGTTATGAAACACTGATATTAACAAGATGTACATTTGACTTTCAGTAGCTTGTCGCAGTGGAGCACAGCTCAGCAGTGATTTTACTATACATAACTTCCTCATTAAAAGCTTACTGAGTGAGAAAACCTGGACCCCTCTGAGTTTTTTCTAATCAGGTTGAAAACATAATTTTATGGGTGAAGAAATAATTAATGAAATATATAAAAGCAGCTACAGCTAACTGCCAACATTGTACGTTACATTACACTTAACCAGATATTCAGCTCTTCCCCACACAGCAGAAATGTTACATCCAAGTTCAAAGCCATGTTCTAAATCAGTTTCAGTTGGAAATACATTCTGAGAAAACACAGTAAAACTACACAGAATGCAATGAACAAAAGCATTTAAACGAGTGTGGTTTGCTGGTTCATACACTATCGATTGCTGCTGGTAGTTAAAACCTGCTGAAAATGTTGTTTCTGTAATCAATACAGTTTATTATTCTCTTGTTCAGAATAGAGGAGGAGATTAAGACCTTGGAGGAACAGGAGCTTAACATTTCTGCTAATGAAGAAGTGGTCCTGAAGCGGTTAAAAGAGGTGGAGAGGACAGCTGAGGACATTATCAAGGTAGGCTCAAATCAACTGGCAGCATTTTAATACTCTGCTTGCTGTACTCGTGCTAACATTGCTGTGTTCTTTGCTGATCATGGTTTCTAATAATACTCAAATATTTGTTTCACCTTGAGGCAATGAAGCAGGATGAACTAACAATTCTCTATAGAGTATTAACAAACTGCTAGTCACTGATTCCTGACGTGAGAGTGAAGCCCCAACATGGCTGTGTATTCTTGAAGCACTGCCCCTACATTTCTAGATATGTTAACGCAGTTGTCTATACAGTCACTGAGATAGATACCACCGTTGAAATTGTGCTTTTCAGATGTTAAAATATTACCTCCGGCTGAGAAAAACTGCATTACTGCTTCTAGCTCTTTACACCATCAAGTGACAATGACACTTAAATGATAATACAAAAAAGCAAAATATAAACTTCTGTATGACAACTTTATTTAATATCATTATAGTTTCCTCTTAACTGCAGACATTGGATCCCTCCTGACATAAAAATAATAATGAAAGTAATAAAAGTTGACATTGAATGATTTTTCAAACCTGAAGAACAAAGTATGCTGAACAAAGTATGCTGTGCCTTCTACAGCCCTCTGCAGGTATTTATTTCAGGCTGTATAATGCTCCAGCAACCTTTAGCTATAGGGCAGCAGAGCCTGTAAATAGCTGGAGAGACAAAACCCAGGGCAAATATATCGTACCAGTTGGGGGCCTCAGCTCAAGGGGTTGGATTGGTACATACATGTTGCTTCAGGTACTATGATGATGAAACATGATCCAGTTTGGTCAGATCTAATACCAGATCTATGAACTCAAAGGTTTAACAGGCACCAATATAATTCTAGAATATATTTTGGAATTTGTTCTTGCACATCACTAGTAGGTCGCCACATTTTGTTGCTGGATGATACGGCATCATCGGCATATTCAATGTGACACAATTCTATATCTTTATTCATGTTATTATTGTGTGTTTAATGTTATTATACTTTGCTCGAAATATTCAGACATAACAATTGTCTTCATATCTATTGTGTCACCGCATGTGGTTCTTTGTTATTAGAGTTAAAAAGCTTAACTCTGATAAACTATAGTTACTAGCCGTTTGCTTCAACTGAACATGAACAAAACGAACCTACAACATGGTAAGTTATATAGCGCTTTTATCTACTTGAAAACCCAAAGCAACTTACAGTACAGTTTTGCGCAGCAGTGTCTCTGTCACATATCAGTCCCACTTTGGGGTTCAGTATCTTGCTCAAGGACACTTTGGCATGCGGATTGAGGAGACTGGGAACAAACACCCAACCTGGTTAGTGGATGACTCGCTCTACCTCCCGAGCCGCCATGCTCATGTTGTTGATAGTCTCACTGTAACCTCTAGAGGGCCATCAAGTATTACAGCCAAATGTGTGTCACATGAGGTCAGAAAGAAACTCACATATACAAGTCCACTGCATGTAGTAGCCTAAACACAATGTTTTCATAATTATGATGTAGATTCTGATAATATATATCAAAGTCTTTTACAACAAACAAACTCAAGTTTCTCCTCATGCATCCTGTGGCATCCTCTAATTTCTGCTTATTTCTAAACTGTGTGGGTCTGCTTTAGTTCACAGGGGGCTGCTTTGACTAATTTCAGTGGCAGGTACATAGATTTCTCACATGGTCGGTGTGCAGTGTACAAGGACTAATATGCATGATTAATCATTGCCTGTATGAAGTCTTAAAGACACAGTGGAACAACTGTGACTTTAACATGTCATAGTACTGGACTGCTGATGCTTAACACCATTGATCTGTAGCACTGCTATGATGATGACTTCCTGCTGCTTTCACCACTTTGACCCCACTCTGTCTTCACACGTAGGAGCTAAATGCAGAGTACCAAGCAGGTAAACATTTATTTTGAATTTTTATGTGTTGATCTGTTCCTAAGCATTTTTATATACCTTCCTGTGGCCGCATTCTTTTCCTGAATTTTAACATGATATGTCATCTAATAACTATATGTAGGGTGTCAGATTTGACATTTTTGACTTGTACTACCAAACCTGAATACTTAATTTCCTCTTTACTGTTTATTAGGAAAGCCATGTTTGTTGCTATTTCTTTTCAGATGAGATGTTAAGACGTTCATATGATATCAAGCTCTGGGCTAGCCTTTCCTGAAGAGTAGGGAATGCAAGTCTGGCAGTGTTCAAAGTTTAAAATTACTCCTACCAACACTTTTAAAGTTCATTAATTGACAGTTTGATTATTGTATCTACAAACGAATCATGTAAATACAGCAGTTTGAAGTTTTAGAGTTGGAGTGATTACGTCACAAACAACAGTTTGTCTGTCCATCCAGCACAAATAGTAATGTTCGTTCATGTATGACAATATACAATGTGTAACAGCGTGCTTTAGAGTTTTTTCCCAATGGGTCACCTTGAAAATGACATGATGTATCTCAATGAGTGTGTCCCTCTAAATTTTGAAAATATAATGAAAACTGCTATTAGTCTGTCCAGATCATCGCCAAACACACAGACATGAGATTGATATCCATGTGAATGTCATGCTCTCCGCAAGAAAGGGAATGTGCATTTATTTCTCATTTATGGCTCCATTTATCTTATGATAAATTATTATTACTGGGTCATACCATATAAATGGTTTGACACCTTGGTATAACAAGATCCTTTAATGCGACCTATTCAAATTCTTGACTTTTAGCGTTTTCTTGTATTTCATGGGCATTATTTTTCTTCTCAGATGTGACACATCATCTCCCCTCACCACTCCCAGATATCCCATCATTCATCCCACTGACACCAGCAGAAACCCCTCCTATATGTAAGCCTAGAAGTGAAGAAGCAAAGAAAGGTATAAGTCTCATATAACTATTAGATTGGATAAAAAATATATTCTGCTTTCCTGACCAGTCATTCAACTGTCAACTTAATGTATTGAAAGTCTGACTAGAGACAAGTGGGATAGATAAGGAGCATAATTTAAGCTGTGGACATATTTTGATGCTCATCACTCTTAATTTGCATTTCACAAGGATACAAATTATGAAGAAATCAGATTTCACTGTAGCTCTCAGTAGTTCAAGGAGACTGTGAAATGACTGGGCCTTAATTAGAGTCATAACATACAAATCCAAAAGCTTGATCTACATATAGATAACACTGGATTACTTCATTTATTAAATTCAATTTAACCTTTATTTACCCATGAAGTTCCTTGAGATCAACATTTTTTAGAGTGGGACCTGGCCAACATAGCTTAACATTTAAAGGTTACCAAAGTTATAGCAGTAAAGGATATGAAAACGATCAAGAGACAATGAGTTCTGGAGTGAAAAGCTACTCTACCAAGTAAATTCTGGGTCCCTTGTAGAGCAGCCAACTATTGCAGCAAAAACCATTTCAGTGAGTGAAAGGAGATCACAAAGAGATGAGTTTACCCTAATATGGCTTTACAGATATAAGTACACCAATGATGCTGTATGCTTAGACTTAGTGAAGGCCGGTAAATGTGATCATAAAGTACACAGTTATGTGTACAGAACAAGTAGTTGGACAGGGCAGAGGGGCGGCATGCATATAAGTAATTTTATCATAGTCTACAATACTAGAATACAATAGTCTTACCAAGTGTTCTCCTGACAGCTAACTAACAAGTGAGCATTGTTGCCAGTAATACATACCCAGCCTTTTAACTAATTTCCTCACTAGGTTCTTAATATGCACGTTACATGAGAGCCTAATATCCACCCAAGTACCCAAGTACCTGTAGTATGACTCTTTTAAAATTGTGTCTGCTACTAGAATATGAATTTATATATTTTTTTCAAAATCTAAGAGCATGCTGGGAATAAGTTTGGTTTTCTTATAATATTATCATCATCTGCATATAGATTGGCTTTAGCTGTTGGTCTTCCTATTGTTATCTATTGGAATAGAATATAAGAAATAGGCCAGCATTGGATCTTGGGGGACTCCCTTAGAGTTCTCAATAAAGCTGTTTGTGACTAATTTTATTCACACACTAGGTTCTATCTGCAACATTGTTAACATAAAAAACATTAATCAACAGTAGTGATTTCATGTTGATCAAGCCATGCTTATTTGATGTAGGTTCACTATTAACGATTCATTTTATCATCTATTTTCTCTCAAATAATCTGTTAAGGATGACATTTTCAAATAGACCCTAATAGTCAGTACAGGGCATTGTCTTACATTGACCTCAGTTAATTGTGATGTGTAAGTAATGTGCATCACTTGTGTTTTTCTTTTTTCAAATTGAGAATCTAAATCAAAAATGTAATTGAACCATATTTATTCTTCGGTCTTCCTCTTTTTTCCATTCCAGCTACATTTGCGATGGAGATCAATGTGGAGCATGATAAGAGAACAGGCAAAAGTCAAGTAGTCTCTACAGCATCTATCACCCCAGAAATTATCCAAGGAAGGGGTTTAAAAGTGTACGATGATGGGCGCAAGTCTGTTTATGCACTGCACCCAGATGGAAGCAAAATGGACAGTGGAGAAGTTGGAGAGATGACGACCACAGAGGTAGAAGAGCTGCTACGTCAGGCTACAGATAAGAACATCCCCACAGAGGTGCAGTACCATCAGCCTGTCTACTCTGTACCCTACATAGGCAGCAGCAGGCCTTCAACACCTAGGACACCAAATAAAACACAGGGGCAAACCCCAACACCCAGCCATAGCCCCTTCCAGAGTGCCATCTCATCCAGAAATGGCACTCAAGTCCTCACAGAGGAAAACCAGAATAAAAATGACCTAGAGGGATGGAAAACCCAGAGCAAGACCCCAAGCCCTAGCCTCATCCAACAAGACTTCATGACAAGATTCCAAAAATCTGGAGAAGAAACCAAGCTGCCCTTCATCCACATTCCAGAACAATCAAAGAGTAACAAGCATGTAATTCCACAACCTGACATTGGTGCTAAAACTCCACGAGGACTCACCAACTACACAACAGGTACAAGCAGTCTAAACACAGCAGCTCTGGTCTCAATTAAAGCCAGGTCTGAAGAAATGCCAGCACCCATTCAACCGGTCTACAGGGCTGTAGACAGCCATAGTCCTTCACTGGCCAGCCTCAAGTCTGAAGGGGATCCTGATACCTTGATAGAGAGCTCAAGTGATTTTAACAGACCCTCACCCTTCTGTGCAGACAGTACCTCTTCTCTGAACCTGGTAGATGAGCTAGAATCAGCACCTGTCACAATGATTTTCATGGGCTATGAGAATGCTGAGGATGAGGAGGAAGACATCCAGGCTGAACTGATCATCATCGCTAATAGTGATGATGATGAGGCCAGGGATGTTAAAAATGAAAATGATGGTGAGGAGCGTCTTTCATACCACCCAGAGGGATACAAGAGTAAAGTCTTCCAACCCAAAGTGGGCATAGCGAAGGTTACAGGCTGCAGAGACATTATTGAAGATACCTACACACACTTGGATGATTTGGAGCTCCATAAGCCAACATTTATCCATAGGCCTGGAAAGCATAGTCCCTACCTGCAGGGACAAGTGATAGATGTGTCAGCAAACACAGGCAGCATCAATATGGAGGAGATGAAGCTCTGCTCAACGGGAAGATGAGAGAGGCTGCTTGGAAACGGCATCACTGAAGAAATAATAATAGAATTGCTCTCTTTCTTTCTTTTTTTCATGTCTCAGCTGCACACTGGACAGCCACATATATTGTGTCAGTCAGTCCTTGTGCCTGAGGGATTCAGTAAGCTTTATTGCCACCTCCTGGCAAATTAGTTTAATTACACACTACATAGTCATATTAATGTCAGCACAGCCTGATCAGTACAGTTGCATTGCATTTCTTCCCCTTTTCCTTTTACAAGCAAATACTAGTTACATTTCTGATCATTAGTGACTGACTCGCTTTCTACTAAGTCCAAAACTGTAAATGTCATATATTTACATAATATAATGCATTGGTACTTACTAATACATTAAAGGTATAGTTCACCCAAAAATGAAAATTCACTCAATATCTGCTCACCACTATAACGATGGAGGGGTGGGTGAAGTGTTTGAGTCCATAAAATTACTTTTGGAGTTCAGGGGTAAACAGCCAAATCCAATACAATTGAAGTAAATGTAAACCTCTTCAATCATAAAAAAACCAAAAGATTAAAAACATTAAAATTTGACTTGAAAAAGTGTCACTTACACTGTGTTTTTAGCCTAAATATCCTCTAATATTCTCTTCTGTAGACGTGTTCATGCCTGGATGGCTATGTAACCAAAAGTATGTGGACTTGTACTCTTACATTAATCATGGTTGTTTTTTCCCAAGTGCAGATCCCTTAGTTGAAATCTTAATACAGAATAAAGTGATGTTTTAGTCACTAGTGTTCTTCCAGGTTTGTTCTGTTTCAACATGACAATACTTCGCGGCCCAAAGACAGCTCCATAAAGAAATTATTTTTTTCCAAATTGCTGTGGAAGAACTTGACCTCAAACTCATCCAACATCGTGGGGATGAACTAAAATGTTGACAATGAGCCAAGGCTTAACCAACAAATGCTCTTAAGGTTGGAAGAGATAAAATCCCTGCAGCCATCTGGAGAACCTGAAATAAAGTTTCTAGACATTAGCTATATATTAATGCCCATTGTGTCACAATCATGTGTTATGTCATGAGTGACAGGTGTCCACATACTTTGCTTTATAATGTAAAAAGCATCATATTAATATTTCTACAACATTTAAATTATCATCAAATATGGTTTATTTTTAAAGTGGTGCCAAAAGGTTCTGTATTTTTTGGTTTAAACTGTGTGAACTAACTGACCTGTGTTACTTTCTGAATAAAAAGATTTATTCATCAACTAACTGTGATGGTGCTGTTTTTGGCACTAGTGCCCTCCTACTGATTTGAAAACTCAACATCAAAAGTCTCCTTTCCTTTTCTTCCAATCGCTGCTATTTAAGATTAGTTCTATTTGATATTAGACAATACAACTACAACACCTAAAAATGACACACAATTATTTATAATATGTTACATTTAATGGATGAATTAATGATGATAAAAAAACTAAAGCTTGGACCAAAACAAGGTCAGATCTAACACAACGGTGCTTTGCATAAACCCATTTATTGAAAGCTTTCATGTTGTTTGTGAACAATGAACTGAAAGAATCACTTTACATATGGGTCATAATATCAGTTTACTCTGGCTGGAGTGAGCATCACTCACATTCATTTTTTAAATCATCATGGTGAAATACCATGAGAGGGCAAAAAATGTGTGTGTGTTTGTGCTCCTAGACAACACTCACACAGTGAGATCATAGGAGTGTTCACGTGAAGCAGATCAGTGACTTAGTTGAAGAACAGTGGAAACAGTGAAAACTCAGAGTTCCTCTCTTGGTCACTGCTGCTCAATGATCAGAGCAGAAGCTGCAGTTGGTTTGTATCGAGCTTGAGTTTCTGTGTCCTCCTCTACTCTGACCTGCTCTCACTTTAACTGATAAACGCTCACCAGTAGTTATCAGGACCTGATGAGTACATGAAGTAACTCGGTGTTTGATTTGCTCCAGAATTGATGAGACTGCATTTAAACATCATGAAAAATGACTCATCAACATTGTGCATCATGTCTTGTGTTGTACTGAACACAGTCAGGACTTAGTGTTAAAATGACCGGAGCGACATGGATTCATGATCCAACACCATCGATTAATATATCAATAACTAAACACATGATCGTAGGTTTGTTTCTAAATCATCCCAATAAAAATGGAACAAATGAACTAGTTCATTTTTGGAACTATGAACTGTACATTTTTAAAAAATGAACTATGAATGTGAACAAGTTTATTTTCATCTGCATGAACTGAACTTTGAACTAGTTCTTTTTAAGTGTGAACTGGCACAACACTGTCTGTGAATCAGTGAAAAGAAACATAATGGACACAAGGACTGACAGCTGAGGGAGCTGAATGTTGTTGTTCTGTTCTGTTCCTCGTGTAATACACTTGTCCTTGGTTGCCGTCCCTTCCTCTTAGTGTCTCTCTGTGGCATTATGAAAAACACGGAGGAGGGTGGAAAAACAAGATTGCACTGTGGATACCATGCTTAAAGGATACAGTTATGTAACAGCAATTCCTTATGTAAGAAAAAAATTTGAAAAGAGAGAGAAACCGTGGGCCATTCATTGCTATTAATGAAACTGAAATTCAACATTCACTATTAATCTGTTTTGCTATTTGAGGAGTGAACTTAGGAACACGCAGGCCTTGTTAATACTGAAATCTCTGCTTCATAAAGTGATGCATATTGGATTCATTATGAATTAAGTGACATCAGTAACACATTGTGTACGTACGGGAGTACATTCTTTATGAACACATCAAAATGTGATCACAACCTTTAAACATGGTTCGAGGATAACTGTTCAACGTGAGGTCTCTGGATAACCACAAGCAAAATGTATCTTTTCATGTTTTTAGGGTGAATATTGATATTCAAACGAGCTGAAGCCAGACTAGACAAAAACTACACAACACACAAAATGCCACCCTCAAGCTTTCCTCGAGCTGCTGAGCAACGCTAAGCCTGCTGAACAAATGTAGCCTAATTGTATCAGTCTAATTAAGACTGTGGCAACTTTCATGTCGTTTGCATTTTTCAGAGAAAAGTACAGTACACCACTTCCGACACTTTGAAACAGCAAACAGGGGAAGCAGTAAAATACTTTACTTACACCACATCCAGTTAAGCCAACTCTGTTTCTCATAAAAAGAGCAGGAGAAGGTGTAAGCTGTTCTCATCACTTGCTGCTGAATCAGGTTGGTCCAGACCAAGCTCCTTTATCCTCTTTTTTTCTTGTTGGAGAGTGTTTGTAAAGATTTGACACTGTTCCCATTGAAGTCTCCATATCCTTGCCGGTCAGCTCACAGCGGAAGTAGCATTGACGACGGATGTACCTGAGACGGCAACGAGGGTCAACCAATCACATTAGATACAAAAAAACGTTAATCAATACCTATTGGCAGTAATTAAAAGTGGGAGTGTCCAGAGAGCTGCGTCCAGTGGACAATCTGCAACAATCAGTTAAAGAATAGCCTCAGGTCCCGTGATTGCCAAGAGTATAAGGACCCACATTCACATCCATTTGACTGGTGTCCCACACCAGGAATGTATGTAGACAGAAATTAACCAGATACAATTTGAAAAACTCATATTGAATGCTCACAGGTGCTTAAAGGTCAGACAGAAGTATTGCATGAGTACAATCTTATAATGATATTAAATTATTTTTAACACTGCCCTGCATTAACCAGCTGCCACTGATATCAACTTACTAACTTAAACATTGTGATATATCAGTGCTGTGTTTATAACAACATACCAGGACCTTATTGTTTGGAGTTTGCATTCTGTCCACTTGTCTGCATTGGTTTCCTCCAGGTACTTTGGCTTCCTCCCACAGTCCAAAGACATGCAGCCTATAACCGGACTCTCCAAAATGTGTAAGCCCTGTGACAGACTGGTGACCTGGTGTATAATCGATATAAAATATATAAATGTAGGTGTAACTTCAAGGAAGTGTCCCGCTGCTGGACAGAATGTGTCAATGAGCAGAAGATAAGCTTCTTTCTGCCTGTGTGCATCAGAGAATGCTCTAGTATTGGCTGACTCCAATACACCCCCCTTCCACCAGCCGCCCAATCAGAGGCAGCAGCCGCCATGCAGAGCTGCCAGTGAGAGTCTGCACTCAGAAACAGAGCAGAGCTCTCTGCGTTAGCTTACCACCCTCTCAGGTAGGTCCATTAACACCCACCCACATACACACACACACGCATTCCAGAAGTTGGCAGATTTCCCATGTGTCAGTATATTGATCCGCTGATGTATTTGCTGTGGCTGCTGAAATGGAAATCATCATCATCATCATCATCATCGTCCTCATCATCATGTGTTTGGTATCAATGTGGACGGAGGGATGCAAGCCTCCCATCAAAGCTGTGTATTGACTAGCTGCAGTATACTGTGTGTGTGTATGGGGGGGAGTGAGACCGTAAGTTTTTCAGTTGTAATATGTGACCCGAGTCTTTAATATTGGTTGTAGCTGTGCCTATATGTATTTTCAGCCATGCGCCAAACCACACTCCTATAAGCGTTTCACCATCAGTTCTCAGCTGAGAAATTCATTTTTATCACACATCCTCAATTTCTGTGTGAGTCCATACAGGCATGTGTTGCATATCAATCAGTCAATCACTTTTTTTCCATTGCATCAAATGAACCGGCTAATGTTATTCCCTAGTTGTATTGTTTTGCACAAATCTTGAAGCTGCAACGTCTTTGTTTATGACTCCTCTACTCTCTCTGAGGAGTTTTCTTGATTTCGCTCTGTAATTTTTAATGAAATGTTACTCAAGGAAATGAATTTAAAAAAAGATGTTAATTTGCTGCATTTGTTGGGGACTATTTTCAGCTGTGGATTTTGCTCATTTTGTGCTTTAGTTTTTCTGGCAGCAGAGCAGTGTATGTGGGATTCAAAATAATCTACAATATGTGTTTTCATGCTAATGGAGGAACATGTCTCACAGTGGCACATTGATATTTTTGGATAGAGATGTCTTCAGAGAGCTGAAGCACACAGAGAAAATGTTGATGGTGTGTATTTCTTAACTGACAGTGTAACTGTATTTTATTTGCAATTCACCCTGCAGGTGTCTTGCACAAACCACTGCAAATATGGTATGTTAATTCATAGTGTATTGAGAGGGATGGAGTCAGTGTTTTCAATGTGTTTACAACCAGTAATGAAAACTCTTTCGTGAGTCAGTGCCTTCAATTAATGGTAGAAAACAATTACAAAACCCACCTCTTATAATATTGATGGACTAAATTCAGATCAGAGATTATTGCTGTTGTCTAGTATATCAAAGTGGAGAGGATGTTCACATCCAGTTGAAATCATAATCATTGAAAGTAGCATGTGTGCACATAGGCTTCATGCATATGAGACTTCGCCTGCTTCCACTTGTAGAAGAGGTGATCCATTTCAAGGTCATTTGTGTCTCTAAGATTTAAACCAGTCACTGCCTTTTTCATTTTATTAAGACCTAAATGTCTTTGAATTATCCTGTCCTCACTTAGCTTGGAGATGAACTATTTTGTAACCCTTGCCAAGATGATGATTTAAAATGTTTTTCATCAGGTGTATGCTCTGACCCCAAATGCTGAAAAGAAATGAGTTTGTTCAAACTTTTTCATCAACAACATAACAGCTGTATAATCAATTCAGTGCAAAATACAGAAGTGTGCATGTTGTCCATTTTCTATAACCCCCCCAAGACAAAAAGAAATCATACAAAACTAAATAAAGCAACAGTAATATTGATAATAGAATCAAAAAATTAAAAATTAAATGACAA